TATATATATAAAAAAAAACATTAATTACTAGACAACTTATTTGCAATATGATATGGTTTTTGGTTCTACAGCTTTCAAATAATTGCATCAAGGAAAGCAAAAACTCTCACACATGGTGTTCCACACTGTATTGAAAAAAGGTTGTCTAGTAATTAATACACTAGGTAAAAAGGAGCAGCAACTTACCATTACCTAAGTCTGAGAACTGATGCAAGTGGTAGCTGGGCACCACTTGGACACATGCGCGCAGAACTTAAGTGTGTACTGACAAATCACATTTGGGGTAGATGATGCAAGGGTAACCTGGGCTCATCCTGACCATAGCAAATGTAGCACCCCACCAGTTTTGCACTTAGCCTCCCTTCTAGGTATGAGACACTTACCCTAACACAATCAGTTCACCATATTTTACTGGTGCTTTAGAAGGATGATTTTCTTGATCAGGAGAAAACATGAGCTTAGTTAGTGACTTCTCAAATTCCAGTTTCTGATCAAGACTGCTGGCACACTTTTTTCATTATTTCCTATAAAAACAAAAGGTAAAACAAATTAGCAGAACGTCAATAAAATTATTTATGCCCATTAAGTCAGCTCTACAAAAAGGTTTAAAAGAACCTGTAGACCCACCATATTGTTACGCATGTCTGTCCTGTGGTCTCCCTGTCTGGATGCTCTAGTTCTAATTGCTTCATGTATGCTGTTTTTTCCCCCTAGGCTTTTGACTTTTCTTGTGAATTTCAGCCATATATGCAAAATAAATACGCATGTATCATACCTTCCTGCATACAGCACATGCTATTTCCCCCCACCCAACACCCCCCCACTCCAAACTGGGGTGTATGCATTAAACAGGGGAACTGATTTTTTGCCTGAGATAAAACCACCATGAAAGCATTAAAAACTTGTACCAGCCACTTGTTCTGTTTTTTTTTAAGCTTCCCATTAGCCAGGACTAGAACATCCCTCCGATCACATTGAGATAATCTTGTTCCACAGTGCAGCATCTCTGGTATTACTATTTAGGAAGTTGAGGAAAATAGGCCATTTTTCTTCACTTCACAGGCGTTAACAAGTATTTCTCCTTTTTAATGGTCATTCCACTAATCAAGCTAACTTTCGTTAGGGCAGTTTTGCTGTCTGGTACAGCTCCTGGTTTCTTCTCTTATTTCACAGCTCTTTAGCTCTTTTTAAGATCACAGATCCACCCATGGAGACCAGTCTTCAGCAGCAGCTAGGGTTTTAGTTAAGCAGGAAAGCATGAATCAGGTAAAGGTTAGACTGTTCCTGCCTTCTGGAGCCCTAACCCTGGGGGATTTTTTGTTTGGAAATGCCTTTCAAAAACAAGTTGCATGTTATAATTTGGGGGTATGTTATATGTGAGAAAACAGGGTATGTACCAAGTCAGGTTGGAATTCCTGCAAGTCATGTCTGAAATTTCTGTATCCTAGAATATAGGATAGAAGATAGATTTAAGTGCAGTAACAAGCATCTGATGCTGCTCTAGAGCAGTGGTTTTCAACCTTTTTTCATTTGTGGACCCCTAAAAAATTTCAAATGGAGGTATGAGCCCTTTTGAAAATTTTGAACAGAAGCATGGGCCTCTTTGAATTGTAAGTGTGGGTATTCACATACTTTTGATTGATTGTAGGCATCTTTTGCAGACTCCGTAGACAGTCTGCAGACCCCCAGGGGTCCACAGACCACAGGTTGAGAACCGCTGCCCTAGAGAAATAGATCATTAATACATTTTTCACTGATGCTGTCCCATCTAAATGGTGTTGAACTCAACCCACTATATCAGGTACAGCTCTCCAATAAGTAAACCAGAATGGAGGGTATTTAAAAGAAATTAGTCCTTTCTGCTTATTAACAGTTTCTGAACATAAAAGTTTTAATCAGATATATTTGCAATTCAAAATGACTTGCCAAATACCAGTTTGGGGCTGCTGACTGAACTGCAAGGTGCTAACATTCAATATGGGAACTACAGTGTGAGTTGTGATTGTTCACAGAGGTTATATGATACTGCTCCTGTCCCAGCACTAAGAAAACAAGACTCAGAGCAAAACTTCCAGTGCAAATTGTGAATACTTGCAATTATAGTTTCAAGGCCTTTTTCCATGGATTCCCTAGTTAGCTGACAACAACATTTCTGCAGAAAGTGTCCTGAGGTTTTGAGGTTTTTCAGATTTCTTAGTAAGAACTGCCTCCATGGTAGAGGTTTCATTATATATCTGGTTTCTGGGTTTACACTGGAGTTATTCACAATTCCCTTGTCAGCTGTTTCACAGAAACTTTCAGCCACCTCTACCTTGCCTCTTCAGAGAAGAAACTAACAGTTTGCAACTTGTGCCTCAAATAATAAGGCTCATACAATCTGTAGCATTCACCAGGGAGCCTAGGAATCAAAGGCTAACTATCCTGGGGTTCGACCTTGCAAGAAAACCAAAACGTTTTTCACTTCTCTGGGTTGTTGATATTAAGGTTGAAAAACCTGTGCCAGCCCCTTGTTCTGCTTTTTTTAAGCTTTCCATTAGCCAGGACTAAAACACTCCTCCCATCACACTGAGATAATACTAACTTCTGTTTTTTCATCTTACTGCTAACACTGATATTGTACTCTGTACTTTAAAAAGTGCTGCTTGATAGTTAGCTAAATGAAAACCTCTTCCTGGCTCTCTGACATCACCTCATGTCTTGTCATCATTTCAAGTTTAACATGGCTAAAACAGAGTCTCTAAAGCACTGCATCTCAACTATGTCTAGGTCTAAGTCCAGCACATTTTTTTCTGCACAACATCAAAGTTATAGCTTTTTCTATCCAGCCAGAGAGCACATAGCTTCCACCATCTTGTGCCTTATTACTGTAACATCCCATTCTCTAACCTTGATTAATACCATCTTGCCCCATTCAGAGCACTGCTGCACAGGTCATTTTCCTACCCTCTCCTCTTAACCATGTTATCCTTCTCTCTGCATCTCTTCAGCAGCTGTACTATGTTGAACGCCTGATATGCATCTTTGCTTTCAAGTCCTTTTATGGCTCACCTACCCAATGTCTCTCATTTAATTCGGTAGAGGTCAAATACTTGTCTCGTGATCAGCTTGTAATGCTAGCCACAATTGCCTGCTTGATAAACTTTCAAATCAGCAATTCATGCTTTTTCCTATGCTGACCCTCCCACTTGAAGTACTCCTCCCAAACACCTGCAGAACCATTTCACTCTCCTCTTTCAAACTATCCTTTGCCATGAAGACTATAAAGAACTTACTCAGGCTGCCAGTGTGTTGAGACCACTGCCTATCAAGCTTACTAATACTATCTCCCTGTTTCTTTATACCCTTCCAAAATTTTCAGATGCTGTCTCTTGTCTTGAACTATCGCCTCTTGGGGAAGGAAGAACTGTCCTTCTTAACTGTGTTTGTAAAAAGCAGGGGTGCAGTGATTGAGATTTTTGGGGCCAATAGCAATAGCCAATTTTTAAGAAGGTATATCAGCCGATGCTGATCCGGTTTCTGATATGCAGCTCAGCAACTTGAGAAGCTGCGTCTAGCTGGTAAGTCTATTGTAGTGGAAGGGGAGAGGGGAGGGAAGGGGCTGGGGGGGGGGG